AGCACAGACAAGTACCTTAATTTTTGTGTTGGTTTTGAAATGGGCAATTCCAATTAATCTAGAGTGCAGGATGGCATGGGCAACAGAGGGTAAAAGAACAGTGGAAAACATGTGAATGCAGCCCTCAGTATGGAAAAACAACTGCAGGACATAACACTATACTTTTTTCATATAAAATAGATACTTTTCTTGTTTAAGCAATATCCTATCTCGTATAAACGTATACATTTCTCAGTGGCGCTAATAACATTACTCTGTTCTCCTCCCCACTAATAGCTGATGTGTCTGGCATACTATGGCTGCCATCACATCATCCAGGTGAATGCTGCACATTGGTGGTGGTGGAGGGGAGTCCCCATTTCCTTTTAAGCACTTTGAGTGCAGTGTCCAGGAAAGCACTATATACTGGAAGTGTAAGCAATTATTATTATAATATTTTTCCATAGTAATCTGTCCAAATCCTTTGACATATTTGCTCATTTTATTTTAGCTTTCTAGTGTATGCTTCAAAATTCAAAGTGCAGTTAGTTCATCAGTATAAAGTAATTTACTGGCTTAAATGTTCTGATTTTATTTTTCTATTTTGAGTAGATACTCTTGAACCAATACCACTTCAATTGAAAAAAAGCTAAAAATGTTATTTATACCTTTCTCAAAATATCATTATATAAATTGGAGGGTCTGATATTTGTCATGTCACTTGTCTGTCTATCTTGTTTTCTTGTTTCGCATGCTAAAATGTCACTAGAATACTCTACCTGCCCTCTGTAGACAACCTAAGAGGACAGACTTTATGGTGTTTCAAGAGTGTTAAGGAAAGTCATCTGACAAGCTGTATTTCAATTCAATTCATTTTTACATAGTCCCTTGCACAACAAGGTTGCCCCAAGCCTCTTAACAAAGCAAGTGACCATACATGTTTTGAATACAGAACAGAAATGACCAGAAAACAACAACGGAGAAGAGGAACCAAAAACTCCTTAGTAAGGAGGAAATAAAAAACTCTAGTGATCCAAGGTCAATTGGCTGTCCAACCCCTTTGGGCACACTAACATTATATGATTTAAAAAAAGGTTAAACCATCCATCATGTCTTCTGTATGTCAGTACTCCATGCAGATCTCAGTAGGCCAGCAAGATCCTCCTAAACCATAGCTATATCCACAATGTCCCTCTTGGATCCATGGCAGTGATGCAGCATCCAACTCAGATGGTGCCCAGCCCATGCGCCATCTGGACATGTGGAATGTATGACCACAGTATACATGTATTTTCAAATAGAGTTTTGCGGTTTACTATGGAACAGAGCATTAGTTGTACCTCCCTTTTCCCAGGGGATGTATGGGGTTTATGTTACGTGTTTCTGGTGGGAGGTAGTTAAGGTTAGTAGCTGTTCATGGAAGGTACAGAATAGTGTTCAATAAAGCCATTGTTTCCAATGGACTTTTGAAAAAGCATACTATTACTTTATATGATAAAATACTGTATTTCCTGGCTTACTATTGTTTGTTTTGGAAAATTATTGCTGTCCTTGCAATCTAGTGACAAGTAATCAGTGGCATCTACGTTTCTTAACTTTTACTAGAGTTTCACTCTTAGTGGTGGTGATCTCAAAACAGCTTTTTATGTATTTTTTAATAAACAATTGATACAAATATACTGTTGACACAAATTTTATCACCCCTACTGTAAGCATCCTTTCAGTATGTTTCAAATCAATGGGAATTACATCAGGAACATTTTCCTTGGGTAACACAGCAGATGCAATAATAAATTCTACTTCAGTATTACTGCATGAGAACATCCCCACACCAGGAAACATTTCAAGACTATTTGACTGTCCATCACTGTACAGTCCCATTCTGGAAACAGGAAGTGGACTATAAACATTGGGAACAACTGACAAAACCATGATTATATACAGTACTAATAGGCTTGAGTCTGTAGAAAAGATCTGAGCTACTTTTGGAGAGGCACACATTTTTGTTTGTCGGGAGTGAGACCATTCTTTGTCCAGCACTGCATAGTTCCAGCCTTGGAATAGGATGTGGTCTATAAACCCCAGCAACATTGGTAAAGACACTTATCTGACAAAACCATGGTGATTTCCTATTAGCTGTGGATCTATAGAATGGGATACTTTTGGAGAGGCACAAATTTTGGTTTAGTCAGGAATGAGACTTTTCCCTGTGTAGCAGTTCACAGGACTGTGTCAATTTGCAAAGAGGAAGTGATATAAAAACACCAAAAAGATTACAAGAACGCAAAAGTGAATGAAGAACTGCAATTTCCAAATAGCTGTGGGTCTCTTTATCAAATTCCACACAGTTTTGAGGATGTACAAATTGATGTTGTGCTATAAATGTGACGTTACCGACTTTACCCTAGGAAGGTGGTGATGGGTGACAAATCCTAAGGACCTGATTGAAGAGTGAGCACCTTATAGACCTTTTGCATTCCTGCCCCATTAGGCAATTACCTCGCTGGCTTTCTGACATTTGAAGACAGGCAAGTGCTGGGATCTAATGGAGATGAGAAAGCCATCAGCTAGCCCCTGGCAGTTACTCATTGTGATGATTCACAGTGAGGATGGCACACGGCCTTTTTGCATTGACTACCAAAGTGAATGTTGTTATTTTTGTTGTTAGGACACCTACCCCTACCATAAGTTGATGAGCGGTCGGCCCACTGAATCATGAAGGTATTGTGGTATCCTTGTGGTATCCTTGCGGTTGTGTGGAGATAAGAGCTATGCACATTGAGAGTACAAAGAGCAAGTGTTGGGGTCCTGTCCCCCACCATCCATAATCTGCCAAACCCTGCTATCTGAATCCTTTTGGGAAGACAGTCAGGAGATCAATCTGGAACTCAAGCTGGTCCATTATTAGGTGATGGTGGAACATACCAATCAAGGGACACCCTCTTTCCATGAAAGTACACTGGGCAGACTAGCCAGATCTGTAAATTGTCAGCATGGATTTTGAGCAGCCTAGGATGCATCTTGCCTCCTGTGGAGTGCTGTGTAATCTTCTGCACTGTGGCCTGAGGTGTTACAAACCCACCATGGACCATGGGATTGTCTACTTCAACATGACTAAGACCTGCGGAGTCTATGGGCCTCAATGGAAGATGCTATCTAAGACTCAGCACCTGATTGGTGGGACTGTGCACTATTGTCGAGCAGGTGAGTGAAACCAGCTACAGAATGTGTCTGACCTTGAGGGACCCGTGATGTCTACTGATGAAAGTGAGGCTT